GTCATAGAGTAGATTCCAGGCAAAGTTTGGTTATTAGAATAAATACCATCTGTGTCATTGTACTTCCAGTGTGCGTGGATGATTCCTTGACTGAGCTCTGCTAAAGCTGTGTGATTTACCACAAAATGAACCACCCCTTTGAAGGAGTTGACCTCACTGCAGTAGCACAGAAGACTGCGATCTGGTCTACACAACGCTGCAGTCAACGGGATATCACATAAAGAAAATAAACCCGATGCTTTCGTTACTATCTCAATATTGAGTCTATCTTGCCAACCGACTTCAAAATTATTTGTAACATTTCCAGCAACCGCACCATGAAGGACAAATTTATCATTTTGATCTGCTAACCCGGTGGAACAAGCTGATAGTCGCTGCGGTTTTTCCAATGTAATTTTCTGACAGAGAGTTATCACAAAAGTTACCGCAAACGATATCTGAATGATAATCCACATGGTGGTTCGTTATCCGGACACACTACCGTTTTTTGTGCTTTCTAACCTTATTTGTTCCAAATATGTCCGTCATCTCTAGGTGTTATGTTATACCTTGAATGTCGACAGAAGTAAGTCCGTATGGTTTTTCCCTAAAGAGTGTGCAAAAGTGTAAATGCAGTCACTCCTATCTCAGAAAACCAAATAATATTTCGTGCAATTTCTATTAAATAACTTTGCCACCAGCATCATGCAATAAGTTCTTTGCAGAACGCGGCTTTTATTACTGTCCTTTAGAAAATCTTTTGGTCCTTAACGAAGTCCCATGCTCTTAAATGTTCATGCCACATTATAAGAGGTTTAGATTTGGACTTTAATAATTCTCCTTCTTCTTCTTTTGTTTGACAGTCCAGAAAGCAATGGCAAACTAACTACTAGACGTAAATTTGCCTAGAATAACCACACAACAGCCAGGTTGGTTCTTCAACGTCCTGTAAAAGGATCGCAACTAACCTAACATTCTTTTGTTTGCTTGAAATAGATTATCTACATCTGCAATGTTGTCTCTAGTATGAACTTCACTGTCTTTTGTAATTCACTCAGCGACACATAAAGTTTGGCTTGCACCGGTGTTTCTCTTGGTCAAAAGTTTTCCCTTGATATGTTGTATTTGGGGCCGTCTTCGAGGACATGATCTGTTGTCTCAGGTGCCAATCCACATGTGCACATGGCTTATTCGCCGGTTTAAAATTTAGTGTACTGTTTGTGTATAATGTCCATAATATCGTAATTTTTGTGTGCCGGTTTTGGTGACTTTCTGATTGATTTGATTATTCTCTTCTTCTGTTGATAAGAGACTGTTACGTCAGGTTGTTCCGGAGTCACGTCTTCCTTAGCTAGTTTATCAGCTTTCATTTCCAGGGACTCCCCAGTGGGATGGTTTCCATTGCAAAGATACCTTACACCGGTTGCCAAGTTGCCGAGAGTGGTGTTCGAACATCAAATAATTTTACAGATTGGAGAGTCTGAAGCACCGCACTTGCATCTGTCAGGAATACCACGGGTTGTGAAGTATGACACATATTTAGCATTTTCTCTGCTGCTATTTGGATAGTTTGCATGTCTGCATCATGGCTGTGGCAGTGCTTTCCTGTAGATATTTTGGCTGCATATCTGGTATTATTTGGATGCTCAATATACACTTTCGTGATGCTGACCACAACACCCATCATGTGCCGATTGGTCTATAAAATAAAGGTCTAGCCCTATATGCCCTATACGCCTAAAGGTGTGGAAAAGGGTCCTTTACTTTACTTACAATATACACTCCTGCTCCTCCATTTCTGCTTGCGTTTCGTGCTGACTCACCTGTATAGACAAGAACCCAAAGATTCTGTGGGTATTCATCATCAAGTAGGCCGAAGGTGGTTGTTTTACGTTGCAAACTGTTTTGTTCTTTCTTGTCGAATACTCCTTTCACTTCTGTCTGGATGTATATTGGCCACTTACAATCCTCTTTTCAAGGGGTGCAATTTTGAATAGCATCTAAGGGACTATCCATTTCAGGCAGATCATTGGTTTGTCTGCAGAGAAGTTGGGCCTAGTGGATGAAACCGTTTCTTTGTTGTCGCCCATTCCTAGATTTTGGAATCTTGTTTTCAGAGGGTGCATAGGCATGCTAGGCAACTGTTCTGCATGTATCAATATCGTAGTGTCTCTTCGTTGTGTCAGTATTTGGGTCATCGCCATCTTCTCCATCAAAGTTTTAGGTGTTGATTTCATCCCGCCTGTTATGACTCCGAGCGCTTGACTTTGCCCCTCGTCTAACCTTTGTGGTGTGGGTTTTTTTTTTTAAATGCTGAACTCCGTGCAGTTGACCAGTGTTCAAGGTGTGGTCGTACACTTTGTTGATAAACTTTCATAAGCATTTTCTTATTTGCGCTCCCATATCGTTCTATTTAGTTTTCTTAAGAAAGCTACCACGTTAACCTATCATCAAAAGTTACTCTGAGGTATGTGGGCTCCTTATCCTCGCATAGTGGTATTCCATTTATCTGAATGACTCCGATTTTTGTTTTGGGGAGAGCGCGAAGAGGGTGGTGCTACTCTTGTTTACGTTGATGCTGACGCACCATTTATCAGCCCATGCAATAACTATTTTATCTAACGCACGAAAATAGTCACAATTATAAAAGAAAAGTTCCCTCTTCGAGGATGCTGGTTGGAGGCGACGATTACCCCCCTCCCCCCCCCCCCACCGCCCCCCCCCCCAGCAAAGTACCTACCCACTATAAAATAATCTCTTTGGAAACCGATGGCATGGCCTGCGGGTTAAGTGACCAGACCAGCGGATCTGATACTTCTTGTGTAGTGCGTGGATGCTTGGCAGACTTTCCTTACTGAGAACTACAGGTTTCCGAATAATGCCCTGTCATTTGGAAACATCTCTTGCAACTGGATAACAATAGTCGGCACTACTTGTGCTTTCTTTACGCTTAATAGAGGGCTGCATATACTAAACCTGACATCTCATATTGTGCCAGTGGCTTTGGGCGGAGGGGCCCACTGGCCAGGATACTAGACTTAGCCTAGAAAAAGGAAACGCAACCTGAAAACTTTATGTCATGGTAGGGCAGACCAGGTCCTTAGTCTTGGTTGGCAGCTGGTCTAGAAGGTAAGCTTCGATAAGCGGAGAGACAGAGCACTGTCGCTATGGCAAGCAGCTGTCAAAAACTGACTATTACTGCCTTTGGTATAGCACTTTTGCGGGGGGGGGGGGGGAGGACACTGAACCTGAGGATTTACGGCCGCAAGGATTAACGGCCACATGGCTAGTGCTGTCGCCACGACTGTGCACTTGATTTTGTGTGTGTGTGTGCCCCTGACAGAAAAAAATCACCAGTCTTACTGAGGATTCGAACCCTGGAGATCTCAGCGTTCTCTGTTCAGCCAGCCACTCAGCTGTCCGGCAGCTTCTGCTGTCATAGTCGCTTCATACGTATTTGTGGTAACATATCCCTTGGAGTTAACTAGACAGGCCGAGCCAGGGATCAGGAACAGAATACCGAAAGGGAATCAAATGTGAATAGATGTGTTAAGAGCTGGGTTCAGAGAAGAAGCGCGTTAATTACATGCGATGACAATTATGGACCTGAAATCCCATGCTCTAATTGTAGAAGACACGTAACATAACATAACCCTTGAACCGTTTGGGTCGTGGAGGTGTATTGGTGGAAGCACTAGCACATAAAACCCGCAATTTGTCTCTGTCTTCTGCTTGATTAATAAGTGTATGAAAACATAGCCCTGTCCATTTCTTGATGCTGCCATTCCAGTTTCTTCTTTGCCCTCCTCTTCTTTGACTACTCCCCAATGTTCTTTGAAGTGCAGTCTTTGCAATCGAATCATGTCTCACCACGTGCCCAAACCAAGCTAGCTTGCGACGTTCCACCACTGCCAAGAGAGGCTCCTGATGTCCTGCAAATTTGTATATTTTGTCTCTGACATATTTATTAGTTTTATTTATTAAATAAATTTTTCGTACAATGCGTCTGTAGCATTTACATTCGAAAGCCTGAATCCTCCTTTTCATTTCCACAGTGAGAGTCCAACACCTACATCCGTATAAGAAAATAAAAAACACCAGTGATTTGTAAATATTGACTGCAATGCTGATTTTGCTCTTGCACATCGTAATCAGCTGCGACATCGTGGCTGTTGCCATTTAAACATTTCAGATTTCCTTTCTTTGGAAGTGATATCACCAACGATTGTGTCCATTCAGAAGGTAACATATTAACACTAGAACATGGCTCTCATTCTTCCTAATGCGGCGACCCTTTAATACAGTTTCTCATGTTGTGGCGACACCCCCTTCCCCATTCCAAGCATACAATTATTTCCGTTGCTATTTCATAACTTCGATGAATATGTGTTTTCTAATGGTCTTAGGCGACCCCTGTGAAAGGGTCGATCGACCCCCCAAAAAAGGGTCTCGACCCACAGGTTGAGAATCGCTGCAGTAGAGGGTCTTGCCAGTCACAATCGCCGACGCCTGTTATTTCCATACGTATCTATAGCCCAAATTAACACCACCATCTGGAAAGATAGTAATGTAATAATTATAATAAACAGCTATGGCATTTGCGTATTGTAGCGGTTAGATGCCCGCCTGCGTATTGAAGATCTTGGGTTCTGCTCCTAACGAAATCGGTATTTTTTTTTTTAAAACCTTGGCTCCTAGATCGACTTAGCCTTAAGTAGGTACCAGGTACAAGTCATGGGAAGTAAAGGCCGTCAGTGTGATGCTGATCAAATCACACATCAAGTACCGATTGGTCGTACGCCTTTGGGCGTGGAAAGGGTCCTTTACATTTTGTAATGGTATTTATTTGGCCAAGTGTTTAGATTTCTAAAACACATATTCATAAGGAATTTTCATTCAATGTTCAGAACTTGTAGAATGACAGTGCATTTTTTTTCCTGACCCACCTCATTCTACAAACGGATGTGAAACATTAAAGTTCAAAAAAGTTAACTTTCTGCCGTGATCAAATGTCGACTTACCAGTGTGACAATCCATAAAAGTGATGCCAAAATGTCTGCATTAAAATCACGTGGTCCTGCTGTGCCCAGTGCCTCGACAATGTCAAGGACGTTTACAAGCAGCAAACTGAGGCTGCAAAACTGTGGGTAGAAGCAACATCTCGGAGATGTCAGTCAATTCGTTCATTGTGAAATTATATTCTAAATTAATATAACAGTGCGGTCTAGGGGAAAAGGATGGATACAACCGAAGAACTAAAAGGAGACACGTGAAGAATAAACAACAAGATAGGTACAGTTAGAAGAAGCAAGCTGAGAAGATAATGAAAGGCTTTTTTTTCCCATGTGGAAATCAACTGAAGCAATAATACCGTTACATTCCAGCCGATCAAACAATATAGTCACAAAACAGTAGAATAAAAAAAGCAATGGTAGAAAAGCATTAAAGTAAAAACAAACAGTGCAGAATGTTACAACAATTACATACAAATAAGCAACCTATCAGATACAATAAACAAGAAAGACGATGTTTATTCTGGAGCAGCGTTTAAAAGGCAATGTCTAAACAGACAGTCGCTTATTTTGGTGCTCATTGTAAATAGAGAGATCTCAGGAAATCCTGCTCAGCCAAAAGGTAACTCGTCTATTCGAGTGCCGAGCTCAGGGCTATTAAACTGGCGGTCCGACAGACGAATCTGGCCCGCGTAGTCCTAGCAAGTGGCCCGAGGATCACTGCTAACTGTAATGTACTCATGATCTTTCATTGCTGTGGCATCCGATAGTTATGAAGGGATCTGAAGTCCGGACAGGGTAGGGTACACTCACACTATTCATCTTGATGTACTTTTATAGCGTCTGACAGTAGGTTATGATTTTTCATCCCTGCACTGGCGTCACCCATGGTGTATCACCTGTGTTTGTCCCCGAAGACAATGCTATTTTACTGGCAGTTACCGGTAAGACTCTTAACCTCTGCCAACCCACTAAAATCTAATATAGTCGGAGCGAGTCTGACAGAGTTGCATGGAACCATCAGTATGTATGTATTTATATAAGTTGTACTCCACCAGGACATCACACAAAGCGATAAATACTCGGTGACTCAAAGTGCCACCATGCTGATGAGGATCACCCGTGGAGAGGTCCCAGAAACCCCTTTCAGCCGTTAGGCCACATTTATGTCCCGTTTATTTTTAGGGCTCCCGGCAAAAGCCAGGCTTTTTATCTACAACTTCAAGCATGAGAATGGAAGTGGGGGCAATCACTTCAGATCTGAAGTCGATAGCAGAAAACAAGTTTACTGGAGGAATTATTGATTCACAGTCGGCATTGTGGACGGTTTAGAATGAACTAATGAGCCATGATAGAATACCATGCATCAGTACGCCAACATTGCCGGGAATCACTTGGATATACTATCCAGGATATGCAGGAGTGCGAGGGAATGAAAGAGCGGATTATCTTACTAGAAAAGCGAAAATTACAGGAACACTCCAATTGGACAAGCGAGATATTCTGAAGACCATATATAAGCGACTTTTGGCAGAAGACACGAGATTAGATGAAATAACATGGACAAGAATTGTGTAAACGAGGAAATGAGTGTGGATCCGGCAAGGAGGGACGGATGAGAGAAAGAGAACGACATGTCTATAATCAGTATGCTACGGGAACAGTTAGCATCTCCGCCGTACGTCATTTTTTCGCGGGAGACGGAACACCAATGGGTATGCCCGGTGTGCTATGGTGTCGATTCTTAAATCATTAAAATCAGAACATATCCATTTAAGGGAAATAATAAAACACAGTAATAATACTTACTAAACATAGTGTTATTTCCCTTTAAACATAAGCCAGTGGAAGTTTGAGAACCACGAAAGACACAGAAGGAAAGTTGAGTGCATTCAAGAACAAATTCCTGAAGAAAAGGGTGAACATTAAACTATGAATCCAAGAGAAGTGAAGAAATAAGAGAAGCCTCGAGGCGAAGGTCGGTGAGAGAAACCAAAAGTGCTTGTCTGAATTTATCCAACGTAACGAAGTGACTGCCGACGATAGAACAGAATGTAAAAATCAAAATCAGCTGCGAGCTCTATTTGATAGTAAATGGCACAACGAGATAATGAATAAAATGTAACACTAAAATAACATACCAGCTTGCTGCAAAACAGATACGTTACTGGCTGGGGTTTCTTCTGGCGACCCACAAGATAGTAGATGTACAGAGGAGCTGATATCCACAGCCATCCACAGGGCACCCATTGCAACACTGTATCTTGGAAACATTCTGTGAATTGTGGCCACGAGTTGTTTGTCCAGGTAAGTGAGGAGTCCTGCAGGAAATATAGGGGCAGCTATTTATTATTTGAAGACTAATTCTAAATTACAACGAGTGAGATGAGATGTATAAGAAATGTGGCGGGGAAAACCAGAAGAGATATAGTTGTCAACAATAAAATAACAACAATGTTATGAGCGGTGCTAGTAAATAATTTCATAGAACATCAAAGAATTGTTTAGTCATCTGGTCGGAATGGAACAAAATCAGCCAGCAGATAGAGTGTGCTACATGAGAACAGCATCAGCCAGCAGATAGAGTGTGCTACATTAGAACAGCATCAGCCAGCAGATAGAGTGTGCTACATGTGAACAGCATCAGCCAGCAGATAGAGTGTGCTACATGAGAACAGCATCAGCCAGCAGATAGAGTGTGCTACATGAGAACAAAATCAGCCAGCAGATAGAGTGTGCTACATGAGAACAAACTCAGCCAGCAGATAGAGTGTGCTACATGAGAACAGCATCAGCCAGCAGATAGAGTGTGCTACATGAGAACAGCATCAGCCAGCAGATAGAGTGTGCTACATGAGAACAGCATCAGCCAGCAGATAGAGTGTGCTACATGAGAACAGCATCAGCCAGCAGATAGAGTGTGCTACATGAGAACAGCATCAGCCAGCAGATAGAGTGTGCTACATGAGAACAGCATCAGCCAGCAGATAGAGTGTGCTACATGAGAACAGCATCAGCCAGCAGAAAGAGTGTGCTACAGGAGAACAAACTCAGCCAGCAGATAGAGTGTGCTACATGAGAACAAACTCAGACAGCAGATAGAGTGTGCTACAGGAGAACAAAATCAGCCAGCAGATAGAGTGTGCTACATGAGAACAAAATCAGCCAGCAGATAGAGTGTGCTACATGAGAACAGCATCAGCCAGCAGATAGAGTGTGCTACAGGAGAACAAAATCAGCCAGCAGATAGAGTGTGCTACATGAGAACAAAATCAGCCAGCAGATAGAGTGTGCTACATGAGAACAAACAGCCAGCAGATAGAGTGTGCTACAGGAGAACAAAATCAGCCAGCAGATAGAGTGTGCTACATGAGAACAGCAAAATCATGTAAAGAGGCTGGCCCAGTAAGACAAAGGTGGAGGGAGTAAAAGAGACACTACAGGGACACAGTTTGAGTGAATGGTTTAATAGTTGAGTGAATAGTTTTTTTTTTTTTTTTTTTTAGATAGCTGAGTGAAACCATTAATAAATAGTTGAATGAATAGTTTAACAGATGAATGAATAGTTTAATAGTTGAATGAATAGTTAAATAGTTGAATGAATAGTTTAATAGTCAATATATTAGTTAAATATTTGAACGAATAGTTTAATTGATCAATCAATCAGGGGCCGTCGCCACAGTGAAGGTTGGCTGAAATGGATCTCCAACACGCTCTGTCTCTTGTCCTAGTTGTACACTCTCTCAGACTGCATCTCTTTATGTTGTCCTCCCACTTGTATCGCTGCTTACCTCTTGCTCTCTTGCCTTCGACCTTTCCCTCCAGAATGGTTTTTAAAAATGTGTTATGTCTTTTAATTTAGCCAAAGTATTTCAAATATCCCTTTTCTTTTCTCTCAGTAATTCTCTTTTCATTTGTAGCTTTTCCCAGAACCTCTGTATTGGACCGTTTTTGCTTTAGTGAAATACGATCTATTCTTTTGTATACCTACATCTACAGAAACAGTTAGATTTTCTAGTCTCTTGTTTTATTGTCCACGTTTCTGCATCATATAGAGGCACTGAGTGTATGTATACATTTGACGATGCTCAGTTTTCGTGTGTTGTTGATCTCTCTAGTTGTCAGTAACTTGAGCATCTTTTTTAAGACAGTTTTAACCATTCCTATTCTCTTTTTGATTCATGTTTCGCTTCCTCCGTCATCTGTAATTACGTGTCCTAGATAGGAAAACCAACAAGGAGATCAAAATTATAATTTTGAGAGCATGCATCTTCCCTGTGGCTACATACGGATATGAATCGTGGACTATCTCACAGTCCTTAGGAAAGAGGATATGGGCTTTTGAGCTGAAATGCTATAGAAAGATTCTCAGAATATCTTGGACAAAGAATAAGAGAAATAATTACATCTTGAAAGATCTGAACATCATGGAAGATTGGCTAATAAACAGCATCCTGTCTCGGAATCTGACACATATTGGTCATATCAAGTGCCACGACGGATTGAAAAAAAAAACTATAGCAGAAGGCATCGTATCAGAAAGGAGGGGCAGGGGCAGACCGATACGAGGATGGGTACAGGATATAAGTGACTCCTTGAGTATGAAAGTACATGAGGCGGGAGAACTGGCGAGAGTTTCTTTCAGGCAGACTGTTATAAGAGCGACGTTCTGCAAAGGACCTGCTACATGATGATGATGCGATAGGAAAAACTTGTCCTAGTTTCTCTCCGTTTGCTGTCATGTTTAATGTTGTCCGCCCTGTTCCATCGTTAATTACCATAGTGTTTTTTTCTTCGGATATTAATGTATAAACGATATTAATGTATAAACCATACTCCTCACTCCGCCCGTTGACTTGTAACTCCAGCTCACTTTCTGCTAGTAGCACTGTGTTATCTGCGTATCTCAGATTGTTTATTGTTTTTCCAAAATATTCAGTCCACGCAATTCCTTAACCTTTTAAAAAATGTTTTCTGTATATAAGTTTAAAAAGGCTTGAGAAAAACCCATATCGCTGACGTACTCCTCCTTTTACTTTTATCCGTGGTGAGGCGATGTTGTTGTGTCTAACTGTTACTGTTTGTCCCCAATATAAGTTACTAATAATTCTGATATCCTTTTCATCTAATTCTATATTTTGGGCGCATGCAATTAGCTTTTTATGCTGCACCCTGTCAAAGGCTTTCCCGTAATCGATGAAACATGCATAAATTCTTTTCCGGACCATTAGATATTTTTTTTTAATCAGCATCTTCAAACAAATTGTGGCTTCCCTAGTACTATTATTTTTCCTAAATACAAACTGTTACTCAGAGACATGATTGTTTATTTTACCTTGAATTCTATCCTGAAAGATCTAAAGAAGTATTTTAGTTATATCTCTCATCAAATTAACTGTTCTATAATCTTCACATTCAAAGGCTTTTGACTTGTTCAGCGGTATGATGAAAATAGAAATTTTCAAATCCTTTTTTGGAATGTAGCCAGTATTATAAATATAATTACACATTTCAGTGATGCTGTCAACGCCGAAGCTGGATAATGATTTTATCATTCCCGTTGTTCTTTTGTCAGGTCCTTCGGCTTTTCCATGCTTCATATTTTAAATAAAATTATCTGCTGCCTCTTTTTCAAATGTTTGGTTCATCATGAAGATTAAACAGTTGTGGTTTAGTGCCTCTGTTATCCCTAAACAGTCCCTCTATGTATTCAATCGAACTTGTGATGATATCATTCTTATCAACTAATTTACTCCATCTTTACCTTTGGTGCACCCATTTCCTGTTAAATTTTCTCCCCTGTTTATGTTTTCTTATGTTTTTATTCACTTCTTTTGTGTTATGTTTATTTTTCCAGTTCCTCTGTTTCTTTACAATTCTCCTGAATCCATGTCTCTTTAACAACTCTGCATATGTTACGTATTCCTTTTTCCATTATTACATTCATCATTTCATTTTTATAATTGCTTTATCTATCCATACTTCATTTTTCTTTCTTTCTTTCGGCGGTAAGTTGGCATTTGCTGGCTGTATACTAGCTTTTTTTTAAAAACATTTCCGCTGTGTATTGATTTTCTCCTCTGGATTTTCATGCCGATGTAGTTCAGTGCTTTCAACTATTAGCTTGTCATGTCTTGTTTACTTCCACCAGATACTGCTGACTTATACCTGGTTACTTCAATACTGAGATGTCTTTCTGAGATTCCCTTGATGCTTTTTAATTAGAATCTGTGTCTTCTTTTTTCTTTACGTCCTCTTTTATCGCTTTGGGTGTCGGGGGATATTTAAGGCCCTGCTTCGTGCTTTTCTGGCTGCTTTGATCAAAGACACATCGTTGTACTGTAGTTTTTCTCTGATGTTATCCTTCCATTTTGTTCCTGGCCTACCTCTTGCTCTATGTCCCTCTCCTCTTTTGGTATATGCCTTGTATGGTATAGCATCAGAGGGCATTCTCTCCAAGTGAGCCAACCATTTAATTTGCTGTCTTCCTATGTAATTTAGAATTGGTGCTGTGCCGACTTTATGACCTCATTCCTGATTTAATCTCTTCTGGTCACTCCTACAGCCTTTTTCAGTCACCTCATTTCCATGGTTGCTAATTTTCTTGTATGTTTCGTTCTGAAAGATAACGTCTGGCACTGGTAACATAGGGTGGGAACGAACATGCTTTGTATGAGATGTCCCTCTGTGCTGATTGGGATTGTCTTATGCTCTAAGAGGGGAGCTAGCTGTCTCAATTATTTTTTGTTTGTCTTTTGTGTTACAATTGATAGTTGGCTGAAAAAGATAAAATATACTTAAATGAACAATTTAATAGATAATGAGAGAACAGTGCGATTTACAATTGGGTGCATAGTTCAATAGATAGATGAGTGAACAGTTTAATAGATAGATGAGTAAACAGTTTAATAGTATAGCGAACAGTTTAATAGTCAACTTAGTAAATTTTTGAATAGATAGTTGACTAAATCTTTTAATAGATAGTTACTGAAAAAAGTAATAGATAGTTGAGTGAATAGTTTCGTAGATAATCGACTAAAGAGATTCAGTGGACACACTCATATATAACCACACTTAGTCAGATTACTAGTAGACAACCAAGTGATGGAAATTAGCTGATAAAATTTACCCAAAATGTGCTTGAGCCACAAAAATCATCCATTATATATTTCTATTTTGCCAAAGTCGCTGTCTCAGTTTTCTCGCAGTCTGTATAAACTACCTGAAAACAAATACATATAACAAAACACTTCAGGGATACGAAGAATTAAAATTGATAGACACATTCTGAATACTGGAGCACCGAAGAATTCAGTTCCTTTGTTCACTTATTATATACCAGACTACGTGCAGTTCCGTCATTTGATATACAATCATCATCAACATCGCCATTATCGTCATCATGTTCCGTGCCGATGTGCGTTGGCTGTCACGTTTTAGTATCCCATACGATCACCAGAATCATGATCTGGTCATTGTTCTTGTCTCGCCCTTCTTCTTCTCCTTCTTTTTCTTCTTCTTTTTCATCATCATCTTCTTCTTCTTCTTTTTCTTCTTCTTCTTCTTAGTGTTCACTGGCTCTAAACTCTATCGCAAAATTCTTGTTGTTCATTCACTTATGGACTTTGGGACAGCTAGCGCTCATCTTACAGCATAAGGCAATCCCAATAAGCACAAAGAGACATCTTATACAAAGCATATTCATTCCTACCCTATGCTACCAGTGCCAGACGTGTTCATTCGCAACAAAACTAAAAGTATTACATGGAAAAGTTCTGCGTTGTAAAGTAAGTCAACGTTCAGGGCCCTTCCGCGCCAATGGCGCCTCAGGGATATATATGACCCCAGACAACGGATGGGCAGAATACTGTCCGCAGAGCCAAACTGGCCCGTCAAGCAATCTTTACTGGCCCGAGAGGCTAGTGTACAATTACTGTGTAGTCTGCCCCTTGAGCTCACAAAAAAGCAGAACAAAAAACATGCAAGCATTAAAAAAAAAATCAAAATATCAACATTAAACTATCATTAAAAATTTATATTCTTACTAGCACATCTGGGTTTTATGTTTATACTGAATTTTTTGTTTTTGATATGGCACGCGACCAGGTTGGCAATTCTAAATTTGACCCCCCCCCCCCCCCCCCCCCAACCCCCCTCGCCATACACTAGACTCATATTTCTTTAGACTAATTAGCACTCAGTGGGTCAACATCTGTCCTGTCGCCTTTACTTCCCAGGATATCATCTGGCACTCGTATTAGGCTGGGCTAACCTTGGAGCCAAGGTCAAGTTTAAAAAACAAAATCAATCTTGGTTTAGATTCGAACCCAAAAACGTAGGTTGGAAAGGCAAGCTGTTATGATTAGCTGGCTCTGCATAACTTGGAATATCGATGCACGAAAAAGACAGACGAGGTTAAGACCTTATGGGAGCATGTGTACAATACGGAACCCAATTTGTTCATCACAGTCTGGTGAGAGTGATGCAGCGAGGAGTGCAAAGGGATCTGGCCGATACTCGACGCTCAGGGGAAAGGCAAGACGGACATAGAATCAGACTGCTCCTGGTAACGTTGGAACTCTGTTCTGACTGCAGAAGATGGGAGCGGAGAGTTTATGGGATGCTGTGATGTCGGTTCTGGAATCGACTCAACTCAGCTCAAATTCTAGATGGCTTCAGAAAACTCTAATCTTCAGCTGCTGATTAATTGAACCTAGATTATATTCAGGGCTGGATTAAGACGCTTTGATGCTTTAAGCACTTAACAGATTTTAGTACTCCCCATCCCCACCCCTTCCGAGCCGTCTTCTCAACATTAAGGACCCCTTGGCAAACCAGTGTGTTGTGGCCCCTACTTTAACCACTCACAAAAATGGAATATAAATGGTCAATTGACATACACAGATTAGTATAGGAAACCCTATGCTCGTGAAGCTCCCGGGCAGGTTCCCAATGGGCCTGTGTGTTAAGGAGGCACTGGTGGCCCCATAAATGTGTAATTCAAAATGAAAACAATTTTAAACCATGAAAAACAATAGTATTTATCGAAATAAAATAAAACTTACAGTAAGATGGTGAAAAAATGTATGTTTTTGTAATCTAATTTATTTATGTTCAACACGTTTTCACCTACTCTTTTTAATTGCGAAGTCTGATCAGATCCTCAAACTAATCTTATGTAACACGTTTGCTTCTATACTGAACAGATATAAGGGATCCACCCTGCATTATTGCTGTGATGAGACTTTTAAAATACGTCAACCAACACTAACAACTACAACAAACTTAGGTTCAAGGCTACTGAACATGTCTGTGGTGCCCCCTCCCGTTGTGATACACTAAGCACGTGCTTAATGTGCGTAATGGTGAATTCGGTCCTGTCTCTGTTCAACTTAAGGAGCGGTTGGTCGAACGGTTAGGAATCTGTCTCTCATGCGAGAGACCCAGGTTCGAATCCTAGGTAAGATTGGACATTTTTTTTTCTCTCAGGGTCACACACAAAAAACCTCATCTACTCAGCCCGTGGTGACAGCACTAACCATGCGGCCGTAAATCCTCAGGCTCAAAGATCCCCCGCCCCCCCCCCCCCCCCCCGCCTACACCCCCCCCCCTCAAAAAAAAAAAAGTGGTGAATAAAGGCAGTAATGGGCAGCAGGCGACACACGTGATTCAATGAATCTGATTGTGTCTACCATATTATTGTGAGTAATTCCCTGTGTGGCTTTCGGGACCCCATTGTGGGGGGAAAACAAGAATAGACCAACCCAACAAGCATACTGCGTAAGAGTCAATTATTACGGAGCTTCCTTCAAAGCCTGAGAGGCAAGGAACCAACAGTCTGCATACAAATGACTCAGACCTGTGAGATGAATATGCTCGCAACACTCAGTTTCTGGAACAGGACTAAAGTCCAGAAGTGGACGAAAAAACAGAACTTTCTCCCAGAATCTACAGCCGGTGAATGCGAAGAAGAAGGGATGGTAAGTAATGCACAGTAGGACATTGTTCATGTTAATGGCTCCTGGAGAATATGGTACTAGGCCCATGTTATTTGGATCAATGGGTACTGCATGGGTAATGTGGTTAAACATCACACCAGTGGACTTTAAGTACCGTAACATCTTTCAGCATCCAGTTCATGATGGACGCTAATTTATATCTGTGAGGATTCTTTAGAAAAAGACCTTTAAGCCATAAGACAGTTGTCTAGCAACAGGGCTACTGTGGCTGGCGACACACGTGGTAGTAGTAATAGTAGTAGTAGTAGTAGTAGTAGTAGTAGTAGTAGTAGTAGTAGTAGTAGTAGTAGTAGTAGTAGTAGTAGTAGTAGTAGTAGTAATATTAGTAGTAGTAGTAGTAGTAGTAGTAGTTGTAGTAGCAGTCGTAGTCGTAGTAGTAGTACTAGTAGTAGTAGTAGTACTACTAGTAGTGGTAGTAGTTGAAGCAAAAGAAGAAGAAGAAGAAGAAGAAGAAGAAGAAGAAGAAGAAGAAGAAGAAGAAGAAGAAGAAGAAGAAGAAGAAGAAGAAGAAGAAGTCAAATGAGGATGACAAGAAGACACAGAAGAAATTTGAAGACAAGAAAAAAAAGACAAGGAGGAGGAGAAGAAGAAGATAATATATCCCAGTGTACAGAAATATAACTGTTTCATCTAAGCACAGTATATTCCTTCGTATATGAATTAATCAAACATAATAAAATATACATTGAAACGGAGCACACTTTAAAACGTACATAGATATAAAGCACATACATGTCGATACTGGGACTGGTGTATACAACAGACTGTTTAGTTCCTTTGTTCCAGACACTTAAATATCGGGTAAAGTACTTCTGTTTGCTGAAGTGCCCCAGCTTGTACCAAAACTAATTACAATGGAACTGTTGTATTTGATACATAACTGGATAACTGCAGGTGACAATCGTTTGTGGGTCTAGTATGCCGGGGTAATGGAGTAGACAATGTTAGGACGTTCACACTCGTTGCGGTGTCGTCACAAGGTAAACATGAGGTGAAGTGGTCAGCGCCCCCCCCCCCCTCCCCCAGCCTTCTCCCTACCTTTGAAAGTGTCTATGCAAAAAGGGGATGGGTTTTCATGGGTTAAAATCTTGATTTGAGATCATAATTATAACACAATTATTACTAAGTCCTGACTGTCAATATATATATATATATATATATATATTTCAAGTACATGTAAAAGTCGGCGTTTCCAACTTAGGCGTTGCAAACACAGTTCGTAGACGATTTGTCTTTGGTTGGTTTCGACAATGGTACCGAGAGCTGACCGTTTAGATAGCAATGGCAAACTACTAAACGTAAAATTTGCCAAGAAAAATCACAACAGTCCAAAAATGCTGGGGTTGGTTCGGCAACGTCCTGTAAAGGATACGCAGTTAACTTTACATAGTTATATCCTGACGAAGCCGGACTTTGTTTTTTAATGACCTTGCTCCCCAGACTGACCCATCCTTACAGTGGTACCGAGTACATGTATTAGCTATTAGATGGGCTGAAAAACTAAAACTGTTGTGAAGGCGGCCGGCATGGTGCTAACCACATCAGCCACCGAGTTCTGATTGGTCTATAAAATACAGGTCAAACGTTAAACGCCCAATGCGCCCGATGATGTGGAAAAGGGTCCATTACTTTACTTTACATGTAATATGAAAGGTATAAACAAAGATCGATACTTTTAACGCTAATTTTTACTCATGGTTTCAGGGTGCTTTTTAGTCCCTTTACAAAATTATATGGGGGAGGATTGCCTCCTTGAAATTGGAGAGGGGGTGGGGCAGGGGGACTCAAGAAGCCTAAGCCCATAGGCTCCATGGCCTATGAATACTGATTACCTAGAACAGAGTTCGTCAACATTTTTTTTAAATCACCCACGGTCCTTCTAGACAGTGGAAATTGTTTCATGACCAACCTGACAGCTGACGCAGACATATTTTTCTGCTTTTCGGATAGCAGTGGCACAGGGGCCTGGGATTCCAGTCATATATCACTCCCCTATCCCCAATTTTGTGTGTCTGTGTCGGCGCCCCTATCAGATTAGTGATTAGTGCAGACTGTCATCGCAACACTCCAGTCACATCCACAGGTGCTCCGATCTCCATCTCAGTAGCTCCACAAGAGTAAAATGACTGATCACTCCATGAGT